ATTTTTTTTAAAAAAATCCTCTTCTTACTTTTGATGAAGATGCTACAATCACATCATCAGTTCTGGTGTCTTTTGTAGCATACATAGGATTCTCAAATGTAATTGGCTGCTTCCCAGTTTCCAAAGCAAAGTTCTCATTCTGAAAACAATAGCCGTATAGATTAGTCAAAGGTTGACTAATTTGTAATTTTTTTAATGCAACACATAATGAAATACACAGAAAAAGAAATACTGTGGGCAAGAGGAATGGAAATATTAATCTCACATGGATTAACCTTTCAGCTTTTTAAAAAAATGATAGATTCTTTTGGCATATATTCAGTGTAGCAGGCACGTTGCCATTATTAAATAAAATGAGGCAAGATTATTAAATCAAATCACTGCTCCTGAGTAACTGCAAGCTGACCATTCTATAAATCATTTGCCAGGAAAATAAATAAATGTTTTTCTTCCTCAGCCACAGACACATACTTGCTGGAGGAAGCAAAGTCTTATAAAAACAAATAATTGGAAATAAAAGAGCCAAAGCAATTTCATTTCAATAGGTACCTCACCAGACTTCAAAGTAATTGGCAAATGAACCAGAAATGTAAACCGGTTTATGTCTCATGGCAGAGAAAGGCTTATATTAGGTGTATAGAAATGGGCAAGGGAGTTCAACATTGTTTTATATTATTACCTTCTTTTCTGCTTAATGAGGAACCAACTAGCCAGGGGTATTAAACTCGATCCCGTCGTGAGCCATATCAGAAATTTGATTGCCCTCGTTGGGTGGGGGGGCGTGGCCTGGTCATTGCGGCCAATTAAGTGGGCGTGGCTAGGCTTCGACAGCCCACAGGCCTCATGTTTGACACATCTGAACTAGATGGTAAACAGCCCAGGGTGCACATCCAGCTTCTGCTGGACTTGGGAAACTAGATGCCCTATATTGGCAAGGAGATCAAAGATATCACTTAAAAATGAGCTCCCTTGATGAGCTGTCATGGTAACTGAAGCATTGTTAACAACTCTAATGAGGAAGACCAAAGAGGAATTAATATTGCCACTACCAAGACCAAACCCTTGTTTTGAAATTTGGCAGGACTGAGTAAGACTGATATTTCTTCTTTAAATAGCAAGGAAAGAAAAGTGGGAGACCACAAGGCATGAAGCCATATGCATGTGATCAACATTTTGAATTGGCCTGGGTGCCCCTTGCATTGGAAAAACAGTACTGCAGCCTAAGGGTCTTTGAGTTTCTTTGGCTGATGGCCAAAATTACACATTTAGAATTTTGGGGCACATTATAAGCACTCTCACAAAATGCTGCCATGGGAAATGGCCAACGGGAAAACATTTATTAGAAAGCGAGTTTTTATGGGGACTGAGATTAGTGGGTCTCACCTCCTAAAAGGCAAGATTTAAGAGAGCTTCATTTAAAGATGATGGGGAAAAAAATTGTCTTACCATTTGCATTGCTCTGTCAATAGAAGATTCAGCTCCAAAACCAGCTACATTAATGTCCATTGACACATCTCCCCCAGGTCGGAAAGTTACTCCATTGCCATTTTCCGTGGATTTCACAAGACTACTTAAACTTCAAAGACAAATTTATTTTTTCAGAGAAGGAAGACATTTTAATACATATATAATAGCAATAGCAGTTAGACTTATATACTGCTTCATAGGGCTTTCAGCCCTCTCTAAGCGGTTTACAGAGTCAGCATATTGCCCCCAACAACANATCCTTTGAATTCAAGGCCTGAAGCATAATTCACTTGCCAGAGTCTAGTTTCTAACCAGGTCCCAGGATGTCTCTGGAGTCCTGATTCTAATCAAATTAAGAAAAAGTCAGGAAATGATAAAATACTTTAGATTTATTCAGCAGCAGCATATTCCAGTTTTCTTTTTCTAATCACAGTACTTATCAAGGCAACAAAAACATAAAAACAGGGATAGCATTTCACTTTGAAAAATAATATATATTGAAAGAGCAGAAGTCTCATACATTATAAATTTATTAGCCTGGACTTCTACATTAATAGTTAGACCAGGAGTATAAAACAAAACAGCAGGTTAAACATTCTTGCGATGGTGCACAGATTTCCCACAAAGGGATGAAATGAGGCCTCCTAAAACAGTTCTTCAATCAAGTGTTTTGGATAGCCACTTACTATCAATTTAATACAATGTGAAAGACTTACACAGACTTCACTCTAGAATGGAATTATTTCACTGATAATCAGGAGGTTCTCCAATCGAAAGGCAAGCTTTTAATACAAAATAAAGTTTGTGCCATTTTGTTTTGCTTTATTCCTTTGAACAATTAGCTATCATCTTCTATATGATATAAAAAGAGAGCCTTTTTTTCATATAAAACAGAGGAGAAATGCACAGTAACACCAGTGCATATTTAGCAGGATCTGCCTATAAATATAGTTCCAAAAGTCTTGGCAATTCAGTAGATGTCACTATGCTCTCCTCTATATTATTTAGTATAATTATATTATATAGAGGATTTATCCCTAGTGATAACGATTTCAGAATATTGACATCAACAACCTGATAATCTTTTAGAAATTTACAAATGTACAGCATATTTATAACATTACTTTCAGAGTGTCAGTGCAAAGATATACATATAGTACACTGTGATAATTACTCATAAAAATAGGCATTGGCGTGTGTAAAAAATAAAGAAAAGAAAAAGAAGAAAACAATGAGGCATGGTTTTGACACGTTTCCATCTAAGGCTAAAAATATTTCCTCACAGAAATATGAACCATTTTTCTTCCTTCTGTTTAC